CGTCCTTCTTACGCACCAACACTATGGGACTGGCGTAAGGGCTGCTACTTTTGCGGACAATCCCCATGTCTAGCAACTTTTGTATCATGTCACGCACCTCTCCAAGACAGTGGGGAGGGATCCTCCTATAAGGCTGGCTTATAGGCACTTCGTCCGTAGTATGGATCTTATGCAGCACCTTATCACATGAACCTACATCAAACTGGTGCTTGGAGAATACTGAGTCATGTTTCTGTATCAATCGAACAACACTGTCTCTATCTTCTCTGCTCAAGAGACTAGAACTCAAATCCAACCCGGGTGGCAATGTATATTGCGAACCATCACCAAAAACATAAGTTTCACGTTCAGGGGTTTTAACCCCTTCCCCATCCTGTGCTCCGACGGGGATTTTACAACCCGTTTCGCCAGCGCAATTCGACAATACGTGATTCACTGAAACATGTAACCCATCAGATTTCTCCTCTAGCCCCAGATCTACTGTGGGTGCAACCGTGGTTACGGTTGCCAACTTTGTGTGAGGAGGTATTGTTACTGCTCTCATCCCAGCATTTGCAACAATGACGTGTACCACTTTCCCCCCTGTAACCTCACAGGTGTCATACACTCTGCATGACTCCCCTAACCCTGCACTTCTGTCTTGACTGCCATTTAAACCCTCAACGACTACGGTCTTGCCTTCAAATCTATCTGGTGGCGTGCGAATGTAGCAAACAAGGCTTCGAACCTCATTTGGCAGGACGGTTGTTGGACATCTGCCCGTGCGGGCAGGGGCTTGTCCAACATTGCCTAATTCCCTTGCCGGTTTCTCCACATGGGCCATGCGATACCAACGCAATGTCATGTCCCACGCGTCTGCATCGTCACTTGCAGGTTGTATAACCAAATCATTCAACAAATGCAAATTGTTGCAACCCAGCAACACAGGACAGCGACCCCAATTCCATGCCCCACCCCCAAAGGAATCATCAACAACAAGAAAATGGGCATTAACCTTAAGGTTATGGACGCCCAGTGGAACCTGTATGTCGCCGCCTGCACCCGATACGTGAATATCATACCCAAGGGAATCAATTCCATTGATTTTGCCCTCAATGTTTCTCTTATAAAATGAAGAGCTAATCAGGGAAGCCTCTGCCCCAGTGTCTAACAAACACGTTGTAGAGACACATGCAAGGGTAATACAAGCCTTCGGGCTTTCTCTCACTAACCTGGCTAAAAGACTGCTCTTTCCCTACTGGTTCCTTTTTGGGTGAGGCCTTTGTTTGTTCCCTCTCCACAACTTGGCCCTTAGTTGTGGAGAGTGTTAGTTTACTGCTGCCTCATGAGTAAGTTGCGATTGCCCACTGTTTTGTTGTGCCTTATTCCCTTGAGATTCGATTGCTTGTTCGCGCGCGATCCGTAGTCGACAGTCAGCACGAATGTGCCCTGTCCGGCGACAGTAAAAACACAAGAACTGGGACCGATCTTTTGGTGCAGGCCCGAATTGAGCAGCGCTGTCACGCCCACTTGATGATTTATCCCTGTCTAGTACGCGCTGAAGCAACGTAGTGATTTGCTCCTGTTGTTTTCCGATCTGTTCTTGTTGTTGTTGCATGCACTTAAGTAACTCCTGTTGCTGCTGAAGCACATTCTGTAGTGCCGTGCCACCAACAGCGTTAACTTCTGCACTTGCAGTGTTAACACTACCGCTTGTTTGATCACAATGGCCTATGCCTTGACAGTTTTCCAGTGTACTACCGACATGTTCGGCTAGGACCGGGTTTACATGACTGCGCCTTGATTTCTGTACTTTTTCTAGATCGCGAAAAAGTTCTCTAGCAGCATCGCGCAATTCACTGAATTTTTGATTCAGTTTTTCCAGCTCTAAGCGCCGCAGTTCCAGACGCACTGTCTGGTTCCGCGCCCCCGATACAAATTGCCCAATGAGTACTCGATCTCTCAAAGCCAGTAGCGACCCCTTTTCCTCTTCCGATGCAACTTCTAGAACTTTATCGTGTAACCGAATTAGGGCCCTGGAGAAGTCCATAAGAGACTCCTCCTCCTGCTGGTGACGTTCGAATAGAGCCTTTTGAAGCCCTTGAACGGTTTGTATTTCCCCAAAGTTGTGCCGCAGTACTTTCTTGATTGCCTTTATGTCATTACGGACACTCTCTGGGTGACACTTAACTTCCTGCCGGGCCGTACCCGACAAATGGCTGACCACAACTTTCGCCTGTTCTTCAACGGGGATTTTGCATTGCTGCAAATATGCATCAACTTCATCTAACCAATCGTCTATTGCCACTAAATTTTGAAAGTTTGATAGGACGTTGTGCAATACTTTTTGGTTTGGCCCCCTGCAGAGCGTCCGTAAGCCCAGACACCAACCTTGCGACCAAGTCTGCCTCAGCCGTAGCCATGTTAATTTTGTTATTCCCAGCAGAACACCAAGGGCACTATATAACTTAAAGGGAATGTACATCATTGGCTTTTGCTGTAATTTCCAGAAATGAACTATTTGAGGGGTTAGTATAATAGATCAAATATTGTTACACTGACATGTTTGAAGTTTTGTGTTCCAAAATGCTGGAAAAACTAAGAAAAACAAAAATGTTCAAGTAGTCTGGTTCCTTGACTCCACTAAAGATAAAATGGATCAATTTATAGATGCCAGAAAATTGTAAGGTTAGGGAACCAGTCTAGCTGGCCTGCACCCGTTCATAAACATGTAACCAATAGCAAACAAAATTTGGACTGAAAAAAAGTGTAAAGTTGGAGCAGTAGTTGAAAAATAGTTAGGTTTTTCCAACAGTGGTCGGCCGACCACCGTTGGAAATGTATACAAAAATACCATTTTCTTGAAAATGACTTCACACAAGGTGCCATAATTCTACAGGATGCTTTAGACTGCATTTACCAACATCCTAGTAAGGTATTTCGTAAAAACTTGGTACTATTATTTTTCGATGTTTGCAAATGTTGTATATTCCCTTTAACAACCCCTCTCCTTTCACTACCGTCCTAGGCCTACACTATTATAACTCAATAAAGTATCAAAATGTATCCAAGAAATCGATTGCTTAAGTATACACACCAGACAAGGCTACCTGTGTCAATCGTACACTTGTAAGTTCAGAACTGAAAGTTGACGAACGTCACTGTCCTTGCACAGTTCAAGGCCGTTGTTCCTCCACGGAGTCCTCTGCTTGCTCCCGAACCGTCCGTCCGATGCTACTCCTCCGAGGCTCCGGGTATCGGTAGTACAGCCAGCCGTTCCCTGCTAATCCAGCCGCATGCCAAGCTTGCAGCTACACACGCCGTTCGTCCGTTGTTTCACTACGGCGTTCTCGAGGCCTCCAGCCGTCCCCTTCAGCTCTGCACACTCCACTTGGTCCCGAACCGTCCGTGCGTTAACTTGGCTGTATCCCCCGGCATCAGGTCCACGTCAAGCTAGTCCCGCCTGCACTGCACTGGTCGTGGTGGTCGAGTCAAGGCCCTTGCTGCGCTTGAAACCATCCGAGTGTCTGACTTCATGTACACCCCATCCGTGTTACCATTTGTAGCGGTATTTTGATTGATATTTCGCCCTGCCCAAAAGCATATAGTCTCCGGTAAAGGAAGAAACTAGGCAAGGGGTTCTCCAGTCAGCTCAAATCTTTCTTAACTTGGAAGGAACTGCTCCTCATTTTATTCCATCGACCACCGACAACAACACAACTCACACACACCAATCTTCTGCCTTGCATTTTCCATACCCGTACCCCCCCCCCCCCCCACCAATGTATACATTTGTAACCGCTTGTCCGCGCGTCTCGCTCTTTGACCCATGACCCCTGCCAGTGGGCCCCAGTGCACGGCCTATTATTAGCGCCTGGGAATTTACAAAAGTTTAACGCAACAAGCACCCTAAATAATCATTTCCCCACATTAATAAGGATCAAATGACCCGAAACGGTCAGGTGACCGGTCCAGTATATGAGTTTATATTTATAATTATGATTAGAGAGTCAGCAATACTTAATTTAAATTAATTGAAATTCTGCATTAACGAAGTAAGTAAGGATGATGCAATACGGCCAAGGGACCGGTCCAGTATATGAGTTATATTTATTATTTATGATTAGAGAGTCAGCAGTACTTAACTTAAATTCATAAAAATTCTGCATTAACGAAGTAAGATTTAGATGATCCGAAACGGCCAAGTGACCGGTCCAGTATATGAGTTATATTTATTATTTATGATTAGAGACTCTGCAGTAATTAATTCGAATTCATTGAAATTCTGCATTAACGAAGTAAGGATCAGATAATCCGATACGGTCAGATGACCGGTAAAGTGTATTAAAAAAAATAGTGGTCAGATGACCAGGAGTTTGCTAAACATCAGCGGATCAAGTTGGTTATGAGTGGTCGAGGGGGATCAAATGATCCAATATGGACAATTAAGATGAACAGTTAAATGTATAATTCATGGCCAGAATTCATTATTTTGGACGTTAACACAGTAATTTTCATGTCTATTATAAGTTGTAGCTCAAAGAAGAAGAAGAAAGATTAAGACTATTAGTGAAAACTCGGTGTTTGTGATCCCACCATTAACCCATGCTGCAAATAAATAATTAGAAAAAGATACAGTCCATCATTTGTAATCCAGTAAAACAAACACAACTATCTCCACTCGCTATACCCATGGACAATCCCTGAGTGGAACCTCCTACCTGACTCCACTAAAAACCAACCCACACTGAACTCCTTCAAAACCCAACAAGACAAGATAAATATCAGCCAACTTCCCACCCATGCATGCGCACTTCGACATTTAGTAATCAACCAGCACCATGACAGCGTTACCTGCACGTGATAGCCCCACCATAGGCGATTGTGAAGTAGTTTACAGATACAGAGATACAGATGCAAATGACTTGTGATTTGTCCTCGGGAGGACAAGCATTTGCATCTGTATCAAGTCTTAATGGGACTTGGCAATGAGGAACTTCAATAGCCATACAATGCGTGTATACGCGCAAGGCCGGGTTATGTTCATAACGACCTCGGCCTCATGCAGTACAAAAGGGAAATTGCGGCGTGACTGGCGCTCACAATCATGCACGTCCACTACAGTGCATGTAATACAAACGTACCTCAAACCACAAAACTGAACATCTTCGTGATGGACATAACTGGAAGTTCGTGACAGTTGCTGTTTGCACCACAGTTGCTACTTTGAAGAATACTTTTCCCACTCGTTAAACTGAATTGATTTTGTTAAACACTATGGCTAATTTTGTCGTTGGAACGGAGAAGTGGCTGAGGATTCTAACAAGCATCGGCGCTATGTATCTTGAGTGTAGTTTGTGGGGAGCTGTCCAGCCGTTGGTATCGGAATGGGACTGGGCAATGAACAACGTGACGCGAGAGCCAACGGAATCTCAAACCAGTGACGGAAATGAGATAGAGACAAGAACGAGTTTTACTGTTGCCGCCATTTTCTTCGCGATGGGACTTGTGGAAATTATTTTATCACCCATTACCGGCATGGTCGCTGACAGGTGTGGATTTGATGTAATGATTCTCTTGAGCCTGTTATGTGGTGTTTCACAGAGTCTCCTTTTCGGATGCTTTGACGCATCTGTTGTGACAGTTTTAATCTATCGTATTCTCGGAGGTGCATCTAGTGCTTTGTCGCAGACCATTGGAATTGCTCGGATCAGAGATGTGTATACTTCTGAATCGAGAGAGTGTAGCACCGCCATTGCTGTAGGCATGAGCAAAATGGCCGCCGGTTATTTTGCGGCACTTATCACTGGAGAACTCTACCATTTTATGAAACATCGAGTATTTCTTTTGTTTCTACCTGTTTGCCTGATACTCATTATTGGTGTATTGTTAACGTTTAGAAATGGAAATTTCCATTCGAAAACCGAACTCAAAGGAGAGGACGAAGGCAAGCAACACTTATCGTCAAAACTGCGATGGAGGGTCGTTTTCGATGTTCAGCTCATAATACTTTGTATCTGCTTCTTCGTTACGGGTCTTGGCGTTACAGCCTTGGATCCCTCTCTCGCAGTATGGATGAAATCCGTCTACGGAGCAGGTGCTGCCCCGGTGGGCTTCATTCTTGGAGTATGTGGCTTGGTTACATTAATAGCTAACATCACCAGCGGTCAGGTCTTACATATCCTGAAGGACTGGTCTTGGATCTTCTGCATGACATCTCTCTGCATAACTGGGCTGCCATTGGTGTTAATAAACTTCTCACCGGATATTGTTTCTGCTGGCGTTGCCTTGTGTGGGTTTTTCTCTGGTCTTAGCGCAGTTCGTTTCACCCTAATTTTGCTGTGCACCACCATCGCCAACAGCCGCTATCCCCAAGCGTGCGGACATGTATTTGGCATTGTGAACATTGGTTGGGCGGCCCCATTTCTGGTGGGACCTCTCTTAGCACCCTACATGTTTGGATCAACCTGCGCCGTATGCATTATTGGAGCAGCTTGTATTGCCAGCGCGCCACTGGCCATATTTCTTCGGCAGCCGGATTCCAACCAAGGACTCAATTTAATGGATTGTTGTGCAGATGACCACGGAGAATATAAAGTGCTGACCAAAAATGACGGAGTACCGTTTGCATATGACATCTCTGAAGAAACTCTACAGCCCAAAGTGAAATAGGCCTAGCCCCATGAGAGATAACTGTGTGACAAACCCACTTATCCTGTAATCCTTTAGTAATTGCTCCCGCGCTAGAGTTATTGGTATTTAATGAATATTTCACGGTAAATACCCTATAAAAGCACTGACTGGCTTTTATTCGCTTTTAGTTGGTGCCCATGTACAACCATTATGTGCGATTTCCATTAGCACGTCGTTGAGCCGGCATCTTCTGCCCTTTCTACCAAGCTACGTACCCCTCATCGCTGGATCGTGGCCGAGGCTGACTGTACTACCGGACGGAGTCCTGGACTGTCTTTTCTTTGCGACACATTGGACAACTACTCACCAGTTGCGATTTTACATCGATTTTTAAAAGCTGTAAATATTTGTTAACTCCTGTTAAATTTTTGTCCGTTACGAAAACGTACAAAATTGATGCGGACAGACCCTTAAGTTGCACTAGGTGTAGAGAGTTGTTTTTTTGAGGCCCTTAGGTGCATATGTGTAAGCTATCCAAAGGTATATGGTCTTCACAGTCTAAGATCCGGCGGGGCTTCCCACCTAGTTAACAAACATGTTCCTGAAGCATTGCTAATGCAACATGGTCGTTTCCAGCTGAATTGTTAAAGAGCCTGTTTTTAATGTGGAAATGACGCACTGCATGTTGTGACTGTAGATTTCCAGGTCGTAAACAGAAAGAGAAAAAGTATTCACATACTGTAAGCCCCACAGCCACTTTCTAGTCTGTAAACCTGGCTCTTTGCCAAGGACATGCCAAGGACTGAAAATCCTGATTGCCTCACAGCTGAAGTGGGTAACATCAAAATCAGAGTTGATCTATAATAGTCACAAGAAGACAATCAATATGAATCACGGGTCAGTTACAAGTTTTTCACAAGTCGATCTCAAATCAATCACATAAAATTCATAAACCTGGCTCTTTGCCAAGGACCTGCCAAGGACTGAAAATCCAGATTGCCTCACAGCCGAGGTGGGTAACATCAAAATCAGAGTTGATCTATAATAGTCACAAGAAGTCAATCAAATTACAAGATATCCAGTCTTTGATTTTTTTGGGGAAAAAAAGCACAACAGATAACTTGCCCAATTGTCATTCATTCATTCACATTGATTGTGACTGGCACTTGTCTGCATGGGCGTCGCCAGGATTTTTTGAAGAGGGGGGCAAAGCACTTGCAGAAGGGAAGGGAGAAATCTCCGGCCGTGGGAAATAATGACGCCCATTTTGTTAAATATACATTAAATTAACAGTAATATGATTCGCCCCTCATCTTCTACTTGCCCCTCCCTTCCTCCGCCCATTTCCTGGTTTTGCTGAAGTGCACGAATCCGCTAAGCAATATTTGTATGCCAAGCAGTACTGTGAAATCGGGTCCAGGTTTGATTCCTTCCCCATTCCTTTCTTGAGAATTTCAATAATTATTCTTACCCTCTTTTGGCAGGTGTGAAGGAAGCCAGCGAGGGATCGGATAAAACGCCGGATAACAACATGTTTGTCTTTCCGCTGCGTTCCTTTCCGGCCCTAGACCCCTTCATGAAGAACCCAACCGACCTCCAGCCATACAGTGTACATGTCACGGCACAGAAGAGATTTGACTACTTGCTGTCTAAAAGGTAACTTGGGTTTTTTGCAACATAGTTGCATTGAACTTTCATCGAACCAAATATTGGCTTACACCTGTGACCCGTTGTAGTGGAAATTGTTGATACTTGTAGGTGAGGGCAGTTCAGCACATCTAGGTCTTGCATGTTCATTTCTCTCTTGTGTGTATTTTTTACATTTGAATTATGCCGGTGGAGGGGGAAGGGGAAGGGGGGGGGGCAGTAAGGGAGTGCTCAAACTCCCTTTCGCCCCGTTAAAAATATTTTATCAAAAGTGCCCCTAAAAGGCAACTTACTGCATGCACATAATCTGCAATTTAGAAAGTACCGTCACGCAAATTGCCATCTAAGAGAGATACCCTTATGGGCTCCTCAACTCCCCACTTTCCTCGGTTCAAAATTTTCTAAAACCAAGTAAAATTCTCTTGATGCGTTATGTGCAATCTAGACCGGCCGTCATGTATACGAAACTAAGCACCGCCCCTGTACACTTCTTGTTTGCATCTAGATTGAGCCTTCAGAACGAACGTCAACAGCGCATGCAACGACGCTGGCACCATCTGAGTCCACAGGTCATTCCCTGCAAGTGATGCCATGACATCTCCCTCCTACATGTGTACCCCAAAACCAATTTTACTGTCTGATAATTCTGTGCTTGTGGTGAAATTATATTTATGCGTGTTCACACTGCTTCAGTCCATGATAAAGGCACATTCATGTGCATGATTCCAGTGGCGCACCCAAGGTGTAATTTTTTTTCAGTCCCAGTATTTGACCTTGGTGATATGAATGTGGCCTATTTTCGAGTAGTATAATAGGGGTGTCATAGTTCGCCCCCCCCCCAAAAAAAACCCCAATTTTTTTCTGCAGCCAAAAATTTGGGGCAACATTTTTTGAAAAAAATTAACTTCTAAAAAATTTGAACATTTTTTTGGTGAGCCCCCCCCCCCCCCCAAGCCAACTCCTGGGTGCGCCACTGCACGAGTCAAAGGTTTCTACTTATGAAACTCCTTTTTTTGTGCAGTTTGACAATGATGTGCAGGGGATGACTGACTTGGGGGAACGTGGCACAGCCACATACTGATTTTGATAAAATTGATAACCATCAACATGTTTATCATTGCTTTGAAAACATAGCTCAGGTGGATCTATTTATTTATGGTTTTTTTCATGGGGGGAGGGGCACACCAATGGAGATCTGTACCTGGTTGTGAGGGTTCTTTGATGTAAAACTATAGCATGACAAGGAGGCTGTACCCCATGGGAACACCCTTTAAATCTGCCTCTGTGCATTTTGATGAATGATCCTGCACATGGCTAGGAAAGTGTGGGAGGGGAAAGAAATTTCACTGATACGACATTGAGAAGAAAAAAAAACTATGCAAGAAATGTTCCACTGCAGCAACCTCTGCTCTTTTGTTGGAATGAAGAGAACTTGATGTTTTTATTTTAAGAATATTAAACATCATAGTTCTTTACATACAGCTTCCAAGCTATAAAAAAAGCTTCAACAAAAGGCATACTTTACAAGAAATGTATTGAGAAATTGAACACTGCACATTGTGACAGGATTTTTTTTACATTCCCCAAAGACAAGATAAGTTTGCGGTAGCACCATGTGAATAAATCTCTTTTATGAGTATGTGTGGTTCATCCTTATAACATCGCATCATCGTTGGAATCCCTCGTTCTCCTGACGACGGGCAGAGCATACTGTTCGAAACATTGAGTCCCTCCGGTTCTTTTTAGAACCACACATACTCACAAAAGAGATATATTCACATGGTGCTATCGCAAACTTATCTTGTCTTACATTCCCCTGTCACCCATTTATTTTCACCCCAGCTTTTTCTCATTGGAGAGTATGACCTTTCAGTTCCCACCCAGATTTTTCCCTTCCAAATTTGCCACAGACATTGTGGTTTACGTCATCAGGGGGAAAAAAAGCTGTCTGGCATTTTAGATCTCTCGCAGCAAACTATAAATCACCCTGGATTTCCTGAGACTCGCAACAGATTAGAATGATAGGAGTTGCTTTCCCCTGAATGAGTTCATCATTATGGATCGACTGGCAGTCCAGTCAAGACAATTACGTGCACGCCCAAAACTAAACTGTTTTTTGTTTGCAACAGTAGTTTTGGGCCAAGGTGAAAAAGAAATCATATAGATTAAGAAGGCATCAGCCATTTTCTCAGGACCGAGTATGTTTATTCTACTGTGAATATGACAAGAAATGAGTGAAAAAAGGACCTTAAGACTCGTTCGTGAGATCTGATCATTTAGGTTATATATGTACATATTGAAAGTGTGAAATATTTATAAAGTTAATAAACTAAGTGTAAGTTTGAATACTTAATTCGCTAATCCGCCCGCTGATTAAAGTAATGTATTTTAATGATATCGGTAGCTAATTTAGTTGAATTTAATGAAATTGTTTTGTCTTTCTGTAAGAAAATAACATCGAATAAAGCTCGACAGATTGGACACATTTTTGTTAGAACCATTTTGTTGGACTCGACGCGACAATCGGAGTTGTCAACAAGTCACACGGGTCAACATCTACTCGAATAGACTGTGATAAAAAAACATTCCTTCTTCGTTGTTCAGCTCAGTGTTGTTTTATTTAAACACTGATTTAAATCACGATTTTAATCAGTTGATATTAAAAAAAAAATCATTAAAAAAAAAAAATTCGAAATTCATGTAAAACGTAAAAAAAAAACCACGATACGCTCGTAGATAAGAGCTTTTAAGGTTGCAAACCAGTAAATCGGTCCGAAATTGCCTACATCGGCCAAATCACGATTTGCATGCCCTCAAAATCTTCAGTATTTGAGCATACTGTGGGCCATGAACTGGAGGGTTTGTAAAAAAATATGGATGGAAGTTGTGCACAGGACTGTGAGCTTGTAGTTCCCTTCAATTCCGTTCGACCTAGACTACCCAAATCACCGTGTTGTGAAGGTAAGAATGTAAATGTATGTTATGTGAATCGTGCAACACCTGGTTTCTCACACACCGTGCTCTTATATCAGATTTTGTACTCGACAGTCTTGCAAGATCAGACATTGGCCAGTACCCAGCTATCAGCAAGTTAATGAGTGACATACTTGATGATCACAGTCTTCATCAGCTAGTGAAAAAGCCGTCGAGGGATCAAAACATCCTCGACTTATGCCTCACCAATTGCCCATCATCTGTAGACTACGTTCGGGTACAGTGCCGAATTAGTGACCACGATTATGGTCATCGTGGGAGTGAAAATCAACCCCAAGATCCCAGTCCAGACCACCGAACCGTAAAGTGTTGTTCTACAGCAAGGTAAATTGTGCTGGTGTAGATGAAGACATGTCAAAATTCCACAAAGGACTAACAGGTGATATACTGAACTCTCACAACATTGATGAACTATTCACCTCATTCAAGGAACCCATGAAGAGCTCTATTGATAAGCATATTCCATCTCAAATGAGCTCCCCCCGATTTACCTACCCCTGGGTTAAAAGTTCCATCAAACGGGACATAAACATTAAGAAGCGACTCAGTTACAACCGAGCAAGAAAGCATGGTACTACCTCTCACTGGTCAAAGTTAAAAACAATTCCGTAGACAAGTTGACAGAAAGATCAGGAGAGCTCACAAATCCTACATCAAAGACGTCATAAATCAGTCTTAAATCAGAAAACACCAAACCATTTTGGAACTATGTTAAGTCCAAGAAGCAGGAAGTGTCTGGTGTCTCACCACTTCACATTGCAAACCGTATCATCTCAAGTGCAAAAGATAAAGCTGATGCACTAAAACACCAATTCTGCTCAGTATTTACATGTGAAAGATCGAACCAACATCCCAAACCTAGGTGAAAGCCGTTTTCCTGACATCTCCGACCTGGTCTTCACCACAGAGGGAATTCAGAAACTACTGGCTGACTTAAAACCTCACAAAGCACCAGGCACAGACGGTATAACAGCTCTGTGCTGAACTAAGCGGCACGACAAGCATAGGACCAATACTCAAGAAACTTTTCCATAAATCCATCTCGACTGGAACTTTGCCTTCCGACTTGTTGACTGCAAACATCACACCCATCCATAAGAAAAATGACCGGTCGGATCCTGCAAATTATCGCCCAGTTTCTTTAACATCAATTATCTGCAAGATGCTTGAACACATTATTCATGGCCCTATCATGGGTCACTTTGAACAGCATGGGATTCTAGCCGACCAACAGCATGGTTTTAGAAAACGCAGGTCCTGTGAAACACAACTGTCAGCTTTGGCCAACGACCTACAAATAACCTTAGATAATCGCAGTCAAATGGATCTCATGGACTTCAGCAAAGCCTTTGATACTATTCCTCTTCACAGACCTCTGGCCAAATTTAATCACTTAAGAATCCGGAACAACATTCATACTTGGATTGACTGCTTTCTCACCAAACGACACCAGAAGGTGGTCGTTGATGGCGAATCTTCACAACCATCACCAGTTCTGTCAGGGGTCCCACAGGGAACAGTGCCGGGGCCCTTAATTGTTATATTTAGTCTACATCAACGATCTGCCGAACGAACTATCATCATGCGTCAGACTTTTTGCTGATGACTGCATTCTGTATCGGGAAATAAAGTCTCATGAGGACTCTAAAATCCTGCAAAAGGACATCGACCATCACCTATGTACTTGGGAATTTACCTGGCAAATGGGTTTTAATCGGTCCAAATGCTTCTCCGTGCGACTGACACATAAACGGAAACAAAACTCCAACCAGTACAGGATGGGTACTTACTTGGTACTTGGTGGTTATCCTCTTCAGAACTCCTCGAGGAAGTATAACTAAGAGGCTTGGAGAGTGGCATAATTAACTAAATCAATGATTTAAATTGAATGTGGTTTGGGGCATTGATGACATCTTGGGGTAATTTGTTCCATTTTCTGACTGTTCTTGGTAAGAAGGATTGCATGTAGACATTGGTTCTTGCGGTGATTTCATTAAATTGGCAGTTGTTCCCCCTCCTTTGTCTGTTGCTTTTCGGTTGCAGCGCATCTGGTTGAATGTTTACTGTGTTGTTGATGACCTTGTACAAAAATACTAGTTGGTTTAATTCCCTCCTTTCTTCAAGTGATGTCCAGCCCAAGGTAGCCAACATCTGAGTTACGCTGCTTCTTCTTGAAAAATCCTTGCAGACGAAACGTGCAGCTCGCCTCTGGACTCTTTCAAGTGAAGAGATGTTTTTGGTGGCATATGGGTTCCAAGCAGTACTCCCATATTCAAGGAGGGGCCTAACCAGGGTGAAATATAATTTCTCTTTGACGGACTTTGAGGCTGGGTAGAAGTTTCTCATGATGAAGTTGAGGACACGGGTGGCTTTATAGGCTGCATGTTCAGTCTGGCGGTTCCAACTCAAATTATTCTGGATGATGATACCGAGATAAGTGATCTCAGCTTTTACTTCAAGATTTACCCCTAACATGGTGTATGATGGTTTTACCGAGTCTCTTTTTCTGGAGATTCTCATGATATTGCATTTGCTTTGATTGAATTTCATACCCCATGTATCTGCCCAGTCAGCCAAGGTACCAAGATCTTTCTGGAATGAATGCTCATCGGATGGAGAATGAATCTTGCGGTACATCAAACAGTCATCAGCAAAAAGTCGTGTTGTTCCACCCACAGAGTCGTTGATGTCATTTATGAAGAGTAGAAACAAGTGCGGTCCCAGGACTGTTCCCTGCGGAACTCCACTTAATACTTGATGCCACTTGGATGTTTCACCGTTGACCATCACCCGTTGTAGCCTGTCTGTCAGAAATGATTTAATCCAGTTCTGAGTTTT